ATTCTTGCCTCAAATTTGTTTAAAGGTGATTAGACAGACTTGTGGCTTCCACAATCAATCGAAGATATGAGTTCCCTTTTAGGGGGTTTTCCATTTTTCTGAACCAAACAAACATAATCTAAATATTAAAGCCAATAAATCTCAGTAGAAAAAAAACAAATTGTGTACAAGACCATGCTATAGTGCCTCCCCCTCCACACTAGGGATGACAATTAACCCCAAACTCAATTTTAACCGATCTGACCGACCACTAAAATATCAGAACCTGAACCGAGAATAAAGTAATCTGAACTCGACCCAACTTTTTTTTACCCGAACCTGACATCGGATCAGATCGGGTGTAGATTTATAATTTTACCCGACCCGACTCAAACTCGAATAATTTATACTTTATAACATAAAAGCCTATCTATGGATATAATGTGACTCAGTATAATATCTTGGCAAAGTGCTACGGTAATAAAATGTCTTTCCATTCATCTATGAAAAAAATCCTTGTTTAACTTTCATGTAGTTTAAAAAAGTGCTAAAATATAAATACTTTATGTTTTTTATTTATTCAGAAAAGTTGGGAGTCACTTATTCATTTCTTAACAAGAAAATCAAGTTTTTAGTACAGAAGAAAAGAAATATAGTGGATTTTTTTAGAATGGACAAGAAAAATGTAAAGTTTTTCGTAGCACATAGAAAATATATCAAAATAGGAGTTTCATGTTTTTTTTTCAAAATAGGAGTTTAAATGCATATACAATGCAATAATGCCAATATATAATAACAAAAAGTATTGTGAAATATCCATATACAGTGTCACATTATCACAATACAAACTCTATCTCCACTGCTTATTTGATAAAATAACATAATCTTGCCACCTTTTGATTTGTAGAACTTTTGATGTAATTTAAATTTAATTCTTAAATGACCCATCTTAACATTTTAGGGGGTTGAATGATACTCCCTCCGTCCTAAAACTTTCTTCCCAGTTTGACTTTTCCCCATTTTTAATTTTTGGTTTTGACTTCAAATTTTACCCTCCTTAAAAAAGATTTTTTGCAAATTTTTTTTTACAATCATTCAAAATATAGAGTTAGAAGATAATTGGTGTAAATACATGAGGGTATTAATGTCATTTGTTATCTTTTTTTTTTTAATGGGAAGGTAGTTTTAGGACGGAGAAAAAAGGGAAATGGGAAGAAAGTTTTAGGACAGAGGTGGGAGTATTATTTAAACATGATACTCCGTATATAGCAGTGAATCTTTCATCTTTGCATTATGGATCCCATATTTACACAAGAAGATGTCATGAAGCTTGTAAATCGTCACCCCCATGTTACAGAGGAAGATGTCCCTGATATTGGATTCGGATTCCATAGTTTATTTTATAACACCCAAAAATGTTCTGTTTTTCAAGATTGAGAATGACCATTGTGGGGTTGACTAAATCCATGGGAGTGAAATCACGCGATACAACAACTTTGACCACTCAACTAAGTTCAAAAGAGATCATTTTTCGGGTCTTGGATTTCTATTTGTCTGAGTATTTTCATATTGCTATACTTTATGTCAAAATCTTGCTCACAATTCTAAGAAAGATAGGTCCTATGTCGACATCATTACTTCTGATTGTAAGAGAAGCTTAGACTCTTTCGATACTTGCTCGTTTCATTATATTCCTCGAGGTGCTAATGTTATTGCTCACTCTTTGGCCTCTGTCGCATTCGATCAAGCCAATAAGTTATACTACGATTTTCTCCCTTCTGACTTTGATCTATAATGCGTGTTGATTGTTCAAAAAAAAAAGTAGCTAACCACTTGAAAATTAATAACGCAAAAAAACCTAATAGAGAAGGTAGGCAAAAAAATTGCATGTTTTGTTTGCTATTGGTGTCACACTTGTGTGGTCATACTATTCTTGTCACATACCCCTCCGTCTACAAATTTTTTTCTCGTTACATGTTACGATGTTTCACCAAAATTATTTTTTAAACTAACTTATATGAAGAATTGGTGTATGATTAAAAAAATATAAGTTACATACAGAGTATTTAAAAATTACGGAGTAAATCAAAAGATCTATAGAACTAGAATTGACATTACTATATTATTTTATCAAATGAACAAAGAAAATATATAAACAAAATGAATAAAATTTGATTATGTTAATAGTGAATGACTGGAAAGTTTGTGGATGGAGACAAAATCATACCATATTTTGTCGTTTTTGTATGGTTCATATTCATTTTTATTTTTAATTTTAAAATCAATAACGAGTAACAACCACATTATCTTACATTTTTTAACTTTCGCGTCTCTCTTTGTTTCAAAAATAGTGAGACAAGAAATTATAGTCTCTTTTTAGCTTTCACGAAAAACAAATTCTCCCTTTATTCTTAAAAACAGTTCCTATCTTTATTTTTGTATAATTTATTTTTGTAATTTGACTTGCCAATTAAATTATTAGCATCGAAAATATAAGAAGGATATATGGAATGAATGGAGTATATTAAATAACAAAAATAATTTAACTAAATTATTCATGTAGGATTTTTATTTTTTGAATTTTTTTTGTACAAAGTTATTAGCAGTGAAATGGAGCTATTCGCCGCCGTAGTCACACTGGTAAAACCCCAAATTGAGGCTTGAAACCCTCTCCTTCCCTGCGAGGCCTGTTTTAGCATCGCCATGACCGACCACAGAGACCGAGATCGAGATCGGGATCGGGATCGGGATCGGAAACGCGTTCGCGATGAGCGCTACCGGGACCGGAAAGAAAGAACTCCCCCTTCTCCTTCGCGTTCTTATACGCCTGAGCGCGTCCGATCCAGGAGAGTCCGTTCCCGGACCCGCTCCCCGTCCTCCGACCGCCACCGTCACCGGCATCGATCTACTTCTCGTTCGCGGTCTCCCGACCGTCACCACCGCAGCAGCAGGGGCCACCACCACCGGCACCGCACTCTCACTCCCGAAAGCCCTCCCAGGAAACGGCACAAGGATGGGGGCGAAAAGGATCGGGACAGGCAGAGGGACGCCTCGGAATTCGTGGACGGAATAGCCAAGGAGCAGAAACAGAAGCAGGAGGGGGATGTGGAGGCCATGGATGAGGACGAAATTGAGATGATGAAGAAATTAGGGATTCCAGTCGGGTTTGATTCCACCAAGGGAAAACCTGTAGCCGGGAACGATGTGGGCTCCGTGAGGAAGGTGACCAAAAGGCAGCCTCGTCAGTACATGAATAGGCGGGGCGGATTCAATCGTCCATTGCCTGCTGAACTCAACCGCTAATGCTCAGGCCAGTGTTATTTCTTCCATTGTAATGCTATTGTTTTCTTGTCTTTTCATGAAATCCCTTTCCAAACTTAATGTTTGTTTTGAATGAGAATTTGAAAATTAGGCTTGTTCAACTTGTCTATATTGATCTGCAATCTTGTTTTCTACTAGCATGAATAGCGTCCAATGCCAATGGAGCTAAAATAGTCTTTTCTTGACGATGTTTTAGCTTCGGGTAAATATGGATTAAATCAAAATGACAAAATGCTTCTTACATTCGATGATGTTTCAAGCAGTAAATGCATCAATGGTGTAATGGAAAGTTGGAAACAACTTCGTTGCATTTTACCTAGGTAAGGTTGCATATATTATGACCCCAGACCCCAACAAAGTTGGCATTATGCAGAGGTTGTTGTTGATGTTGTTAGAATGTTGTTTTCTGATAGAGCACATTGAGTTTGAAGTTTGAACCCTATTTAAGAGCTTCAAGTTTGGAGTTTTTGTTCAAGATGGCCTATGCCGAACACGGGGCTGATTTGGTCAGAGTAAAACAGGGATAAGATTAGCAATGCCAAAATATGAAAACTCCATCCTTACTGCATAGCTACACACTAATGCCTCCATTAGTGTTTTCCATCTTTGTTTTCTCTTTTCTTGTCTATTTGTTTCTTTGGTTTTGGGAGAGCTTAAATCCCAAACCAAGTGGATTATGCTTTGGCCTCACTACTTAGACACACACACACATGTTAATTTAGCACCCTCAAATTGATGAGGGTCGAACTGGTTGGGTTGTAGCAAACAGATTGGATTGATGTCATGTCCTTTGAATTATTGACACCTGACATCTATGAATACTTAACTTCTTAGACAAAAAAATGGNCCCCCCCCCCCCATAGCTTCCCATAGCTTAGCTTTGCAATGTACATGGTCTATATGGCCTTAGGAGGTCTTGAGCGAGGACCTTTGCTTGATTGCTTCTACTTTTGAAAGATGTACTTAATTTGAACAAAAAAATACAAGGATGGACCACATTCTCGAGGGTCCCTCAGAACTAGCTGTACGATCATCTGAGAAGAGATAAATTGTATTATAGTCACAAGTTGATTAGTGAAGGTGAAGTCTGCATTTAGGACTTGCAGAAGATTTATGCTTAGTATAATTACTCCGTATTTCCTAGTATAGTTGTCAGAAAAACAAACTTGAGTTTAGCTCATTTGGCATCCCTTGCTCAACCAGTGCCCCCCCGGTGTTGAACACAAAGTCCAAAAGCACGAGAGAAATGTTCCTCAGTTTTAATGCGCATTCTCATAAAATGTGCAAAAAATACAATCGTTCCAGCAAATTTTCTTGTTTTGACTTTTTTGGTTAAGTAGTGGCACTCTTTAACCACAAATTATGTAAAATGTACATTTAATTATAATTTAAATTTATATAATTGGATTCATCTTAATATGATTTTGATATATCAACTTTCTATAAAATTGATATATTTATATGATGTTGAATTTGCAACTAAAGAGTATCAAACTTCGACAAAAAAATTAGAATAATTTTTTTAGGACTAATGTAGTATTTGAAAAAAAATATTGTATGATTCGTAAATGACCTGTTTTTTAGGCGATAATGAATTGAAGAGTTGCGTATAGTGAATCGGTGCATAAAATTAATAAAAACGGGTTAAGCACTACTCCAATTTTGATTGCAATTTTTCATTTACGAGGCAAATTTCTATATTTGTCATTTTATTTAAGAATTGATATATAGAATAAAAAATAAAATTTTCCTATTTAAAAATTACATCAAAAGTTTTACAAAACAAGAGGTGACAAAAATATTTTATTTTATCAAATAATCAATTAAAGCATACAACTAAACAAAAGTTATCGAGATGCGAGAAAAAATAAAAATATAATCAATTGTGGGATGGAGAGGGTACATTACTTTGTAAAAAAGGTGATATATAAGAATATGTAATTTTTGTGTTAATTCGCTACTTTCTAATTTTGTCTTTACATTATGTTTCTTCAGTCTCAATTTAAGTTACTTTTATTATTGACACAATCAAATTTCATTCATTTTCTTTATTTATTTTTATTATTCATTTGACAAAATAATATAGTCATATTAGTTTTTAGTTCATAAAAATTTTTATGTAAATTTTTAAATACGTATACAATTTTTATGAGTAATTTACCTAAATAGGACTAAAACATAATGGCTTTCTCAATATAGGACCATATATTTTTATTTTCCAATGTAGGATCATTGGTCATTATCTATTAGTCATTATTCAACTAAATGTCCAGCATCATTTGGACATTATTCTTCTTAGTAATCATTATTAAGTCTTATTTAGGGAATAAAAAAGTTTAAGTCCTACATTGAGAAATGACTGATGTTTTAGTCATATTCAATGGCAAATTTCATAATTGATAATTACTTAGATCGAAGATAATAGTAAGATGAGATAAAATATGATGGATATATTATACTCCCTCCGTCCTAAAACTTTCTTCCCGGTTCACAAAACGAAGAAAAATCTCAAGTTTTTTCAATCTATTTTATTTAAATATTGGTATAGAAATAAAAAATAAAATATACATATTTAAAAACTACATCAAAAGTTCAACAAAACAAGTGGTGACAAGAATATTTTATTTTATCATATATGCCATGAAAAAACACAAATATATATAAATTCCCGTGAAGTTGGAATAGTGCTATGGGAAGAAAGTTTTAGGACGGAGAGAGTATATAAATAGTGAGGAAATATATAATGTGATATGGGGTAGGCCAACTATTTAATAAGAATAAAAGGTGATTTAATTCATAGTGAAAGTGTTTTTTGGAACGAGATCTTTAGACCAAAATCTCTATTCTATTCGCCTATGGCATAGTTCTACATGTCCTTTTTTTGCTCCAATGCTCCCAATTAAAAAAAAACCCTTACTCAATTATAAACACAAACAAATGTAAAAAATAAATGGCAAATGTCTTAATTGAATTGTTGTAAAAAAATATTGTAAGATTATCTTTTCTCAATTTTATTTCTTATACTTGTATATGTTAATAATACGGAGTATTTAATCTTTATATCAGAAAATGTTGAAAATAAAAAATAAGAACATAAAAATAGCAATGCTTTAATTTTATTCGGGGTATAACACTAGAGTAATAATAAACTCCAAAAAAGCAATTTTTGCAATATTTCATCAACATTAAATAAAAAGTTAAAATGCACAATTTTTTTTAAAACTTAAACGTACTATACCAACTTTAACAAACTATTTACATTAACTAAATTAATCAAATATTTTTTTTAAATTTAAAAAAAGTAAATGTAAATATTTTTTAAACTAAATTAAAAAATACGGAGTACAACGTAAATGTGGTGGGTGGTGTGACAAGCGGGACCCACTCTTTCTCTTAAATCTAATTTTGAAATTGGAAAAAGCCAATTTCGAAGAAAAGAAATGCGATGTTGGGTTTGGGCACTAAACTCTCCTCCGTTTATTTTTTGTTCTTCTAGTCTAGCACTATATTCATATACATTCGCATGTAGTATTTTTTGAATAACTGAATATATATTTTCAAATAATAGAGTACTTAATCTTGAAAAAACTGAGTAGTCATTTTCGAGCATAAGACATAACTGACTTTTAGAGAAATTAGTATATAATTAATCAAAAATGGGTATTTATTTATTCAAAAATAAATATTTAGTTAGTAAATGAGTACTGACTCCCTATGTACCGAAACACCTTACAATTGTGTAGAAGTACCTTTTTTGTTAAATTTGCACTAAATAAAACTAAAACATAAGTCAATTTTCAGACTTAAACTTTTTTATTTTCTAAATAGTACGGAGTTAATGGATATCGGGTCTGGTAAGCCCGACTCCAGGCCCATAATAGCCCAAAGGGTATAAGATCAGGTGGAGATGACGGGCCAAGCCCGTCATCTCGCATATGGCAAGTAAAGGAAGACGGCCCAAACATGGGATAGATCAAGGTGACCCAGTCCAAGGGAGGAATGGGACACGTGGCCCACATCATCAAGTTGTGGGCGAAATGGGAAGAGAACGAGACCGGAAAGAAGGGGAATTACAACCTCATGATCTCCATAATCCATTTCCATTTTGTGTAATTTTAATTAGAATATTAGAAGTACTATAAAGAGGGGAAGACCCCGCCATTGTAAGACACGACAAGAAAAAGAACAACAATACAGTTCAATACTCAATTAAAGAATATTAAGTGATTATATCTTCCTAGTTTATATTACGTTCTTGGTCCGCCATCTGATCGGGTTAATCCCATCATTGGTGCTTTCATTAAGAGATATACTGTGAGATAAGACTGTGAGATTATGGCCGGACGAAGAACGAGACGTAACCCTGCTGCTTCCGCCCAATCGACGGTAACGAGTGACAACCCAGAACAGGGTATGATAGTTCCTGTCAATGGGTTGGAAACGACACTAAATAATGTGGCCAACATGATGGCTAACACTATGGAGCGATTGGATAAAGCTCTTCCGGGTCCATCCGGAACCCGGGACATCCCTACTGGGCAACCTCGCCAGGTCCTGCGTACTGCGAGTTCTCCTATCCTCCAGGAGCTCCATGATACGGAGGAGGTTGAAAGGGAGAGGCAAGCCATTGACAGACGCCGGGCGGAGGAGTTGGCCCGGAATAACAAGGTGAATGAAGGCCGGGCTAAGGACGCAAACCGGATCATCTGTGATGGTAACAAAAACCCGCGGGGATCTGTCTTTGAAAGGAATCTCGCCAGAAAGCTCACGTTAGTGAGAGGCTGGGGAAGAATCCGGAGAAGGCACCCCAGGGTTGGATACGACCCCAGGCCAGCCAGGTGGCATCGTCTAATCGTGAACCACTGCAGCGAAATGGCCGTGGTGCGAGCCAAGTGCTGGTCCGGTCATTGAGGAATCTGGAGGAGGATGAGGTTCAAAGCCAAGCCAGGGTCCCAGCACCACGGCGCCTGGGACCGCCGATGCCGGAAGCCGGTGAGTTCCAGGATCTGAGGCAGCAGATCCAGGAGATGCAGAAGAAAATTAACAAAGGTCGAGTATTCACTACCCGTACGAATACCCCCTTAGCCCCGGAGATCTTCGCGGAACCATATCCGCAGGGATTCAAGATGCCATTTGTTAAGCGTTATGCTGGGGAGTCGGACCCCCAGGAACACATAAACAGCTATGTCCAAGTGATGATTGCCGTGGACGCCAGTGACGCACTCATGTGTCAGTGTTTCTTGCAGACAGTTGACAGCAAGGTCGCGGATTGGGTCAACCATGTCCCTGCCGGATCGATCCGGACGTGGGATGAATTGGGACTACGGTTCCTAGAGCATTTCGCCGGGAACTACCGTCCCAAGAAGCATTTCACTCACTTGGCTTCAGTACGACAGAAACATGGAGAATCCTTGAAGAATTTCCTTATCTGATGGAGGAAAGAGTCCAGGGAGGTTGAAGGAACCGAGGTCATGGCCCATGCTGCACAGCAGGGACTCATGACTTACCCAACCTATTCTGAGAAGGTCTGCAATGTGGAAGACACTGGAAAATGGTGCGCCTACCATCGCAAGAATGACCACAACACGGAAGATTGCTATACTCTGAAGAATGAGATGGCAAGGCTAATCCGCCGGGGTCATATGAAGAAATTCGTACAAGATGGCGATGCAGGGAATCCCGGGAATGCTCATAATGGAAAGCGTCGAGATAAAGAAGTGGCCCAAGCTGAGGCCCGGGAGAAACGCCACATCAGGCTTGAAGACGAAGAGGAAGATTCGGAACCCGCACCGCATCGCCAGAAGAGACACCATGGGTGTAACTTCATTATTGGAGGGAATACTGGCGGGGATTCAGCCACCAGCCGGAAAAAATGGGCTAACGCGGCGATGGTCAACAAGGTGCTGGTCCCAGAAGGTAAGAAGCTGAAAACCGAGCCAATTGTATTTTCTAATGCTGATCTTCCAGAGACAGGGGTCCCTCATAGGGACGCCCTAGTAATTACTATTGATATAATGGACTTACTGATCCACAAAACCCTTGTGGATACGGGAAGCTCCATTAATATCATGTATATGGATACATACAAGGCTCTCGGTTTGACAAGAGATGAATTATCACCCATCAAGACTCCACTGACCGGGTTCACTGGTGACTCTATTGAACCAGAGGGGGTAATAACCCTCCCGGTTGAGATATGGGATACTAAGGCTACCCGGAAGCTGGACATGGAGTTTGTCGTGGTGGGGATAATCTCCAGCACGAACATTATCTTGGGCAGACCCGGATTGGAAGATTTGGAGTGTGTTATCTCACCTCGCCACCTGTGCATAAAATTCCCAACCCCCCATGGAGTTGGAATTGCCAGGGGATCTCAGAGAGTATCCCGGGCATGGTATGTGAAGGCAACCAAACAGCCGGTTAAGTACGATACCCAAGTAGGAGAAGTGACTGCGCAACTCTTGAGGGCTGAGGAAAAACGTCCCAGAGTAGAAGTGGCTGGCGACATTGAAGAAGTGGAATTGGAGCCAGGCACGCCGGGAAGGTTAGTCAGGATTAACAAGGATCTGGGGGCTGAACTTAGATCACGAGTGACCTCAGTCCTCAAAAGGTTCGGAAGGGTCTTTGCGTGGAGTCCAGCTGATATGCCAGGGCTGGATCACAAGATAGCAGTTCATCGCCTGAATGTCCTGCCCGATGCTAAACCAGTGAAGCAGAAACGAAGGCATTTATCACAGGAAAGAAGAGATTTTGTAAAGAAGGAGGTGGCAACCCTGCAGAGCATTGGGCATATCCGGGAGGTGCAGTACCCGGATTGGTTGGCAAACGTAGTACTGGCGCCTAAGCCCCCTTCATGGAGGATGTGCATCGATTACACAGATTTGAACAAGGCATGTCCCATGGATCCGTTTCCTCTCCCCAACATCGATCAGATGGTGGATGAGACCGCCGGGTCAGAGCTAATGAGCTTCATGGACGCTTTCAGTGGCTACCATCAGATTCGGATGCATCCGGCCGATGCTGAAAAGACAAGTTTTATGACCCCAGAAGGGCTGTACTGTTACCTAGTGATGGCTTTTGGACTGAGGAATTCCGGGGCAACTTATACCCAGATGGTTTCTCAGGTGTTCAAAACTGTCTTAGGGCGGAACATGGAGGCATATGTTGACGATATGATTGTCAAGTCCAAAGAGGCCCGAGACCATGTCCAGGACCTTCAGGAAGTCTTTGAAATCATGATCAAAGTAAATTTGAGATTGAACCCGAAGAAATGTACTTTTGCTGTTCAGGGTGGGAAATTCCTTGGGCACATGGTTAGCCGGAAAGGAATTGAGGCAAACCCGGAGAAAGAAAGAGCCATCATGGAGATGGAACCCCCGAAGACAGCAAAGGAAGTTCAGCGGCTAACAGGAAGGTTGGCGGCCTTGAATCATTTCCTTTCGAAGCTGGTAGAGGAGGCGCACCCATTCTTTGCGGTGATCAAGAAGAGGGCAACCTTCGAGTGGACACAGGAATGTCAAGAAGCATTTGAAGAATTGAAGAGATATCTCACAAGTCCGCCGATTTTATCCAAGCCGGAACCTGGGGATATTCTAACTTTATATTTGGCGATTGCGGACTGTGCCATAAGTACTGTGATCGTGAGAGAAGAGTGTGGGGCCTATCATCCGGTCTACTACGTCAGCAAGACCCTGAGAGATGCGGAGTTAAGGTATTCTCGTCCGGAGAAAGCCATGTTGGCGGTCTTCTGGACAGCAAAGAGATTAACCCCGTACTTTCAGGCTCACCGGATTATTGTGCTCACCAATGAGCCTTTGGCGTCACATACTAGAAGCCCGGCGGCATCTGCCCGGATGACCAAGTGGGCGGTCTTTATCAGTCAGTACAACGTGGAATTCAGGCCACGCCCATCCATCAAGGGGCAAGCACTCGCCGACTTTCAAGTCGGGTGCACCGCTAGAGAAATGACAAGAGCCCAGGTTGAAACCCGGGTGGAGAAGGACTGGTGGATAATGAGCATTGATGGATCTTCTGGGTCTCGATCTTGCGGAGCAGGTATCGTCTTGATCACCCTAGAAAAATTCCGGATTTATTACGCTATCAGATTTCAGTTCCGCGTGTCCAATAATGAAGCCGAATATGAGGCCCTGATCAATGGATTGAAGATTCTTAGTAAGATGGGAGTATCCAGGGTTCAGGTCTACAGCGACTCCCGACTAGTGGTGGGACAAATCACAGGGGAATTTGAAGCAAAGGAAGAGAGGATGAAGAAGTATCGGGACTTGTCCTTAGAGATGTTGGGGAGGTTTGAGTTTAAGCTTGAACATATACCCCGGGCCTAGAACGCAGAGGCCGATGTGCTATCCAAGCTCAGCGCAGAATCGCTGGAATACATAAGCAAATTAGCAACTTTCGAAGAGCTGGTAACCCTGAGTCTTAGCAACAGTGAAGTGATCTGGGTATCCGCTGATCCCCCGGAATGGCTGAACCGGTTGGCCAAATATATTGAGGACGGTGAAGCCCCGGAGGATCCCCAAGAAGCACGTCTATTACGAATGAGGGCACCAACCTACAAGGTGCAGGATGGAGTCCTCTATAAGCGGTCTTACAATGGTGTTCTACTCCGTTGCCTTAGAGCAGCAGAGGCGAAGGCACTGATGGAAGAAGTACACGAAGGAGTATGTGCTGCACATCAGGGTCCTTATTCCATTTCTAGAAGGGCTATCATCCAGGGATACTTCTGGCCAACAATGAGGAAGGATTGCGAAGAGTATGTACGCAAGTGCCCGACCTGCCAGCAATTCCAGAATATACCCGGGAGGCCAGCCACGAACTACACACCCATCAGCTCCGTGATTCCCTTCTCAAGATGGGGAATTGATATTGTGGGAGCCCTGCCGAAAAGAGCAGGGCAATCAAGGTGGATTGTGGTAGTGATAGATTATTTCACGAAGTGGGTGGAAGTTGAGCCACTTGCAGGGATCACCGGAAGGCAGATGATCGACTTCGTCGGAGCCAATATACTTTGCAGGTTTGGGGTCCCGAAGCAGTTCATATCCGACAATGGAACCCAGTTTGAGGAAGCAGAGTTTCAAGACTTTCTCAAAACTTGGGGAATTCAGCACACGAAGGTGTCTGTTGCATACCCACAGGCTAATGGACAAGTGGAGAACGTCAACATAACAATCATAGACAGAATAAAGAAGAAGCTACTTTCAGAAGGAAGCAAATGGGTAGATGAACTACTCAGAATTCTGTGGACATACAGGACGACTCCAAGGAGAGCCACGGGTGACACTCCTTTTGGCTTGGCTTATGGTTTTGAAGCCCGAGCTCCCACTGAGGTAGTAATCCCCACCAGGAGAGAAATGGAACATGACCCGGAGGTGAACAAACGGAATCAGGCCGTAGAGCTGAATTTCGTAGAAGAACGAAGGGATGAAGCACGGATCCGGGCAGAGAATTATCATCGCCAGGTTAAATCTTACTTTGATAGCAAGGTGAAACCGAGGGCATTCCAGGTGGGGGATTATGTTCTGAGGAAACGAGAGAAAAGTCAACCAACTAAGGGTGGGAAGCTGGCTAAGAAGTATGAAGGACCTTATATCATCAAGGCCGTTGTTCGCCCAGGTACCTACAAGTTGGTGACTCCCAAGGGAAAAGAAATTGATAGGACATGGAATGTAGAGCACTTGGTCAAATTTTATCAGTGAATCATTTTGTAAAAACGCTCTATTTTNAAGGGGGGGGGGGAAAGCACCCCCGGGCGATATAGACCCGCATTACAGGGAGGTAGAAAAGTTTGTGCCACCTGCTAAAAATAGGGGAGGTAGATAAGTTTATGCCCCCCCGGAGGTAGAGAAGTTTATGCCTCCGTCAAAAATGAAGGAAGGGTTGGGATTGGACTTCGAGGGCCACTACAACTCGGAATTCAGGAAGAATAACAAGCAGACTTCGAGGGCTGAAGCTTAGTATTCCACTAGCATAGATCAACCGAGCAAACAAACTTCGAGGGTTGGAGCTCAACTGATCCAAGGTAGATAAGATTATGCCTTAACCCGGAGGAAGGGGAGGTCGGGGGCAGATGAGATAAGTGCCCCAGGCATGCCCAAACCCCGGGGAGATGAGATTTAATATAGAGAATGAATTATGTACTTGCATTTGAAGAGGTGCAAAGAAATGATCATTAAGGACCATATTGATGGGCCAAAGTTTACATTTTTTGGTTCACAATAAAGGTTCCTAGTGAAATAAACAAGAAAAGAAATTAAGGGAGTTATCGATTGCTAATTCGGAGGGTATATCTTTGAATTACAACGATGATTCTCACTTCAAAATTAAGGAACATTCCTTAGCTTGGGATGCGGGGAAAACCTCTGGACCAAGAAAGTGAATGCCCCTTGATACAAAACAAGGGAAAGAAATTTGATTTGCAGGAGGCTAGGAACTGAAGGAGGGCCTATTGTATCCATGCAGTCAACAAGAAGGAGGTGGGGGACCCTTCCATGGGCTCCTTCTCTTTGAAGAGGGACACGTTGATGAACCAGCGGTTTCCCATATGTCATAGTCTTCCCATGTCCCAGGACGAGGGGCTGCTCCCTTCAATGAAGAACCATGGCTGGAAGGCTTCAGCAGGTTTGGAGAAACAGTCCGGCTTTCACATGAAGGTTTCGCTTCAACAGTTAGCAGAGAACGTCCAAGCTTAGTCCTGCACATCCTCTGGTACAAGGCGAAGTCCTGGAGAGTCATGGAGTCCCAGTCTATCTCCCCGGAGGGAAGCCTGGGTGGACTAGGAGGAGATGGTGCAGGAAGGCAAGGCGCCGGATAAAGTCTCGAGAACTCGCCAGGACTCAACCCGGCCATGTCGTTGGATTGGGCTGGAGAGATGGAGAAATCATCATCTGAAGAAGAAGACGTCCCAGAGAGGGTTAAGTCGATGATGACTTTGCCCTCAGACTTACTTTCCATGGCGAAGAAGTCAGAAAGTGATAAACGGGCAGCTAATTGCCCTTTCCCATTTTATAGTCAAAGGGGAAGGGATAGTTGGGAATTGATGAATGCAATTAAAAGACGTGAAAGACTAAGCGATTGGCGAAGGAAGCGGTCGAAGCTTTTCCAATGTTTGACTAAGAGTTTCTCGCCACTTAAGTGCATGGGCTAGTTAATTGGGCCCATTTGCGCTTGGGAAAAAACGTCATCCTTGGAAGGTAAGGAGTTAAATAGACTTAGACTTCTACTCCATGCAGATGACGGCACGTGCAACAAAATTATATTAAATGACAGGAGATAAAGGTTTTTTTCCATTAAAGGGCTCAAACAGAAGATTACATTCTATTGGGTCACGGTAATGGGCTTTATCCCTGATCTGACCACGAAACAAAAAAGAGACGGGAGATAAAGATTTTCATTAACTCAAACAGAAAGATTACATTCTTTTGGGTTACAGTAATGAACTTTGTCCGAGATCTACTTCTATCCTACTGCGAAAGAAAAATTGAAAGCAAGGCGGATCAACACTTCTGGAATCTAAAGGAGTGAATTCGCTGACCCTTGCTTCCCTGCCTGAACCAGAAAGGGACCCAGAGCGGGGAGGCATGGAGAGTGTCCGTCGAAGACACTTCATGAAATTCACAAGAAGCAGGATGATACCAACGGGTTGGGATCTAAAGCCATCCCAGTGGATACCATCCAGTCATTCCCGTGAAGGCGCCCACCAGTCTCCCTTCATGACATTCAAAAGATACGAAAGGGAACCAACGGGTTGGGATTGACAGGCATTCCCTCCTTCGGCACCATCCGGTCGTCCCTCTGAAATCAGACCAGGGGGACGGTAGGGCATGAGGGAAGGATTCAAGGCCTGTCTCCAGTTATACGGCAGGAGGAGGTGGATCCTGGAAGGTTCCGTCCTTCCAGGATGCGTATAAATGGAAGCCTATTTCCTCCCATGTCGTAGTCCCCCCATTCCTCAGGTGGCTGTCCATACAACTGCTGAGGGGAAGGGGAACCCTGAGAAGAAGGCCTCACACCAGAGACCAGACGGGAAGCTCCTGAGTGGGGATTGCGTCTCTTCTGTGGACGAGAAGTGCCAGGACAGCCAGGAGAGACTTCCGCCCTGGCACTGTTAGGAAGCACGCTGGGACCCGGAGGCACACTCCCTGAAGCTTGTGGGGGGAGATGAGGGTTATTCTCCTCCCTGGGCAAGGGAGAAGTTACCGATTGTTCAGAGGCAAGAGAAGGCCCAGAAGAAAGCTCAGGCGTTGGGGACCCAAGTGAGGGGAATGCCGACGAAGAAGAATCAGAAGAAGAATAAGAAATAGTGAGATCAATAAAGACGACTCTATTGGCGTTATTAGCCATGTTGAGAAGTTGATTATGATATTGGAGGGGTTCAGCCTAGTCCCTTAAATAGACGGGTGATCCCAAAGGAGAAGTGCAAGGGACGCGGAGTCAAAGTGCTTATCCGATTGGGAGGGAGTTGCGGATTCCCGAGGAAAGCTAGGGTTCTGTCATCTTATTATTGGGCTAAGGTGAATTGGGCCCGGCGTAATTAAGGTGGGCCAGTCACTTAGCGCAATGGAAAACAAGAGAAACAGTATGTTATGAGCGCGGTTAAGCCCAAAGCTTAGGCGGATAAAAAATCTGCTAAGTCCTAGGGCGGAACAAGAGTTCCAAAAGGGAGACAGTCAGATTTACGAAAGGAGTCTATATGGACAAAAATACATCAGGAGTTATCAATTTGCTACCATCCAAATGTTACAAGGCAAAATATAACAGTCAACGGAGAAGGATAGAGTCAAGGCCCCGGATCGGCACGAGAGGCTGGGGGAGAAAGAGGAAGAGGTAACCCATAGTAGGAGATGAAGTCATCCAAAGTGCGGTTCTCCAGGAGACCACTCAAGAGTGCCCCGTAGATACATTGCTGCATGTCAAATTTTCCCTCTTCGTAGAGGGCTCCAGCGCGGGCAACCAGAGTGGCCACCTCCTCTTGATGAGCAGCAATTGCCTTCTCCTGATCCTCCATCTTTGACCGGAGCTCACTTGCAGCCTGTCTCTCTTCCTTCAACTTCTCGAGGGTAAGCCGTCTTGCCTCCATGTGCTTCAGTGCAAGCTCGTTAAGACGGGAGCCCTCATACTTGGCCTCCTGGAGGGAATTCTCCAGTTCAGAAATCCGGGATTCCCTTTCAACCAACTCAGCTTTCAGGCTTCTTGTCTGGTTTTCTGAAGTCGAGACCCTGGATTCCAGAATGGAGATCTGTGCCCGTAATCTGTTAAATTGCACTTCCAGATCCTGGGTTTCCTTTTGATAATTGGCAATCTGCTCTTGTAAGGACTGGACCTTGGATCTCTCAGCTTCTAGCTCCATTGAGCCATCTGCCTTGAGCCGAGCATTCTCCCCTTGCAGGATTTGGACTTGTTGTTCTAGGGAGTCGACCTTCTGTTGTAAGGCTCTGGCAGCCAGTTCCCTCTCCCTCAGGAGCACTACAGCCCGATAGTTCCCTGATGCTCCACCCTCCTCAGTCAAAGTGAGGAGTGATTGCTGGGCCTAAAGGAAGGAAAGGGAAGTCAAGGAAAGGAACTAACCGAAAAAGAGATAAAGAGATTTTTGGAAAGGGAAGGTACCTGCTCCATGAGGTGCAGAGCATTGAGGGCAAGCAAGTCGGGACGGGCCTGGGGAATTGCAGGCCCCTGCACGGATTCCCTCATCCTCTCAAGATTTGCCTGGATGGTCCAATGGGAGGCTTGCAAGGACCTCAGACCACGGGAGAAGTCTGCCCAACTCTCTGTAAAGACAGGATAAGTTTGTGGTGTGAACTTGCGCCGGATGGGGAGACTGACGGCTGGGGATGCAGTGGCGGGATGTCGTTCCTCTGGCTCCAGCTGCTCCTCCTGAGTCTGCTGCGCCTCAGCCTCTTTCCTCACTTCTGGAGAAACTTCAGCATCCCTCTGCTCTCCAGCCTCATTCTCCTCCGGGTGGGAGATTTCCGTCTCCGTCTGCACTTCGACCTCCCTCTCTGCTGTAGGGGAGGACTCCGGTTCTTTCTGCTTCATCCCTTCTTCATCCATTATATGGGGGGTGGTTACGGCATGTGGCGAGGAACCGGACGCCTCAGTCTGAGGCTGCGTTATGGGTTTTCTGAGCGCAGACTGGTCCCTAGGCTCTTCTTCCTCACAATCAAGTCTATCCGGGTGGGATAACTCCAAAACCCCGGATGTAGCAGCAGGAGTGGCATTCTGGGTACCGGAAGAGTTGGACAGGGGGCTGGGCGAAACAGAAGTACTGTCACCCTTGTTCTTCTTGGGAAGGAAATCATCATCGGAGACACCTTCCCGTGGCCGTTTCTGGGACGGAGTGGGCCTCCTGAGCCCGGGGATGGCAGAGATAGGAACAACATTCAGAGCAGTATCCGGATTGCGCACAACCAAGGTAGTGGAACCACCTTGGGGCCGATTTCCAGGAGAGCTTGCGGATGGGTTGGACTCTGTAGCAGAAGGAGCATTCGATCTTTCAGGAGAGGGCATCCCTTCAAAGGGAAATGGGTCAGGACCCAGGGGTAGTAAAAACCTGCCTTCTTGTACAACTTAGCATCTTGGAGAGAGTGGTGGGAAATTAAACCCCCCATCTCCCTCAAGGCATTATACACTCCCTCCGCTAAGTCTGCTGTGGCAAATTTCGTCCGGGAAATGGAATGGCGGAGGACAACACCCGGCAGATCGATGGGGCTGTGAGCCGGAAACTCAATAACGAAGTATTTCAGTGACCATCTGTCGATCTTGAGCTCAACCTTCTCAAAAATGGGAAAATGGTTATGGGGGTATAGGCTGTAAAAGGGGAAACCACCGATACTGAAGAGGAGAAGGAATTCGTCCAGTTTCGGGGTCTTGTCCAGGGCACAGCACCGCAAGATGTAGGACGCGATGTACTTGTGCGCGTTGGCAGTCAATTGACCCGGAGCAAATCCGAAATGGAGGCAGAGGTCGCGGAGCAGGCCGTGGAGGGGCAACCTAAATCCATTCTCCACGGAGTGGTAATGCATGACNGGCGGAGGACAACACCCGGCAGATCGATGGGGCTGTGAGCCGGAAACTCAATAACGAAGTATTTCAGTGACCATCTGTCGATCTTGAGCTCAACCTTCTCAAAAATGGGAAAATGGTTATGGGGGTATAGGCTGTAAAAGGGGAAACCACCGATACTGAAGAGGAGAAGGAATTCGTCCAGTTTCGGGGTCTTGTCCAGGGCACAGCACCGCAAGATGTAGGACGCGATGTACTTGTGCGCGTTGGCAGTCAATTGACCCGGAGCGAATCCGAAATGGAGGCAGAGGTAACGGAGCAGGCCGTGGAGGGGCAACCTAAATCCATTCTCCACGGAGTGGTAGTGCATGACCATATTTTTTGGGGATTTGGATTGTAAGATAAACTGATCCCCCAACGGCATCGGGATGGTGGACCCGGAAGCCCTTGCCCAGAAGTGCGGCCATCTCTTGAAGTTCATTTTCTTTGATAATGGAGGGTCCGTGGGTCCAGGTTTCAGGATTTGTGGGAGCCATTTCGGAGAGAGAAGCAAGGATTTGGGGGAAATTGCAGTCGGAATTCGGGTCGGGTTAAGATTCAACAGCGAGAGGAAGAAGATGAGTCCAGAAAGGGTATTTATCCGTTGAAAGGGTGGACCCGAGGTACTCGAGTGCGACGTTTCTAATCCGACACGAAGATCGAAGGCGGCTCATCATTAGTTTTCTCGCGACACGTCGCCAGAAAACTAGGGGGCTTGTGATGGATATCGGGTCTGGTAAGCCCGACTCCAGGCCCATAATAGCCTAAAGGGTATAAGATGAGGTGGAGATGACGGGCCAAGCCCGTCATCTCGCATATGGCAAGTAAAGGAAGACGGCCCAAACATGGGATAGATCAAGGTGACCCAGTCCAAGGGAGGAATGGGACACGTGGCCCACATCATCAAGTTGTGGGCGAAATGGGAAGAGAACGAGACCGGAAAGAAGGGGAATTACAACCCCATGATCTCCATAATCCATTTTCATTTTGTGTAATTTTAATTAGAATATTAGAAGTACTATAAAGAGGGGAAGACCCCGTCATTGTAAGACACGACAAGAAAAAGAACAACAATACAGTTCAATACTCAATTAAAGAATATTAAGTGATTATATCTTCCTAGTTCATATTACGTTCTTGGTCCGCCATCTGATCGGGTTAATCCCATTAGGAGTACTTAATAATATTTAGTGGGAGGAATAATATCCAGTAATGATTGACATTTATTTGAATAAGACTAATGGATAATGACCCATGGTTCTATATTAAAAAATAAAAACATATTATTGTGAAAGTTATTACTCCCTATGTTTTAATACATATAAATTCTTTTTTTTACTCTGTATTAAATAGCTAAAACCAAATCCTCAACTGTGTAGAAGAGGTGAGGAAAAGGGTGATTTGGATGGGAGAAATTAAAGGAGATTATTGACGATTGGTTTGTTTTTTTCTCGAGCTGTACATTTGGTGCATAAAAGCCCACGACTTTGAGGACCCTTTTCTCCCTCCTTCCCTCTCAATCAATCTTTCCATGGATTCCTTCCTGCAATTGCTCATCACCCCCCTCTCTTCTTGGTATTTGCACTCCCCAGGTCCCTCTCATGATCACAAATTCAATTGCAATTTGCAGGGCTTTGATGGGATTTCCCGTTTGTGGGTCTCCGTACGTTTCTTTTATTTCATGATTCTTATTATACTTTTTTTTTGTCTCTTCTGTCAGATAAAAATTTCTCACTGTGATTAGAAGAATACTGGAGCTGCTTCAGATATGGATGCTTCCTTCTTAGAGGGTGATTGATTCTTTCTCTGGGTCACCTTTTTTTTGCTATTTCCTGTTTACATGCTTGTTATTTCCTGAATGGAACTGATTATAAATTGGGTGATCTGTGAAAATATTGAATCTTTCAAAGATTAGTGGTTCACAAAAACCTTCAAAATCCCCAGATTCGTAGTTTGTCAATCACTAGCTCAGCAATCTTTCATGGAATAAATTTAGTTGTTCATATATTTTTTCCTATTGTTATGTTGATTACTGGGTTTAGTAGTGGGTACCTAACCTTACTGGGAATTCATTAGTGTAGATTAAATAAGCGTTAATGAGTGCCATATTAAATTTTCAACTTTAATGTCAACTACAATTTGTTGAACTCATTGTTTCCTCTTTTGTTAAAATATTTCCATTTTTGTCCAAGAAAATAAATGAACACTGATTATGTGTATCTGACCATGATTGCGTGTTTGACTGTGTGGAGGATGGATTTGGGTTCTCTTTTCTTTTAAATTTGTAGCCCAGAAAAGCAAAAGGGTAACATCATACTGCAGCTCTACTAGTAGTATGGAAAGATTTTAATACGATCTCATGTGGTTATTATTTCTTTTAATCCTCCCACAAATTTGTAGTGAACCATTCATTGACAGTGGAGAGAATCCCAATCCCAATCCATGGAGAATATGAGTAAGAATACACGAGTAATTTTAAGGGGCCCTGTCTAAGTAAACTACCTTAGGAAGTCGTAAAACTCGGTTGGCATCATCATCAACATTCATTTGGGGCTGTGTTGTGGCTGTTTGGCCTTTCTGTACTCTTTGAAGTTCAATGAAATCCCACTGTGGTTTAGACTTCAAGTTACAAAGTTTACCGCCATTTCCTTTGGAATAAGAGTATGCACAAATAAGGGTTCGGGGATAGATTATTAGATTCACGGAATGTCGGGATTGCCCTTTGAGAAGATCAAGTAGGGTAGCTCTCACACCATTGCTTAAAGGGGCATTTGTTTACTTCCATTGCATAAAGTTTTGATTAGTGTAGAGTTACCCACCACTAGTCCTTTGTCATGGATTCCTTCCAATCATGGTGTCTCTTTAGATAGAGACATATCAAACTTGCAGGGTATACTTATCAGGGGTAAAAAGGGAAAGAATAATAAGTTAAAAAATTTGTGCTGCGCCTTTTCTTAATATATGTCAATCCAAAATGCAAGTGTTTTTCCCTCCTTTTAAGGCCAAGACTTCCACTCTGGCTCTTATATGTTGATGAGCTTATCAAAATGTACTCCCTCGGTCCCACTATTTTGTCACTTTTTACCTTTTTTTGTGTGTCCCACTATTTTTTAATCTATTTTTAGCATTCATTCATACTTTGTCTTACTTTTTAGCATCGATATCAACCACACAATGCACCTTTTCTTAATCTCCGCGGCACTCTCTCTTGTCCTAAAAATAGTGGGACGAGGGAGTAGTTATTTGCTGAAATGAGTATTCTCACATGAAACCTTGGCTGCAGATATCTTGGATCCAGAAAAGTGCAGTAAGCTGGGAATGGAGGAGAAGCGCGAACTTGTTTACAAAGTGTCAAAAATGTCAAACTTTTCTCCTGAAATGCTGCAATCTTGGACTCGTCAAGATATTCTGGAAATACTCTGCGCAGAGATGGGCAAGGAAAGGAAATACACAGGCCTCACAAAGTTGAAAATCATAGAGAACCTTCTGAGGATTGTCGCGGAGAAGAAGAAATCGCCCAAGAATGGAGTTTCCAGTAATAACTCCCCAGATAAGGACCAAAGGAGTTTCAAACGGCAGAGGAAATCCGATCACCCAAATCACTTCATAGATGCAACAACTGATGATGCACCAGTTACCAATGCCACTAACAGTAATATCACATACTGCAATAATCTGGCTTGCCGAGCAAGATTAACCAGCGAATGCTCTTTTTGCAAGAGATGTTCGTGTTGCATTTGTCGCGCATATGATGATAACAAGGACCCAAGCTTGTGGTTGGTTTGCAATTCGGAGCCGCCTTTCCAAGGTGAGTCTTGTGGGATGTCATGCCACCTTGAGTGTGCCATTAGACATGAAAGATCTGGGATTGCCGTGAAGGATAGAACAGATGGAGGAATCAATGGAAGCTTTTATTGCGTCGCTTGTGGAAAAACTAACGATATTCTCAGGTATTTTCTTCTTAATCACTTCAAACCCAAGATGGTTTTAGGTTATCATCATCATCATTTCTTTTAATTAAGGAGTTTCTTTGAAAATTGCTTTATGACACCAAAGATTGAATCTTTGGCCTCTAAAACAGATTCTTTACTCTTAAGGGTGGACATAAGGTTTGCATAGATCTTACCCACTGACCCTACTTCTAAGTGGGACACATTGGGCATTTGGGCATGTTCGGTTTGGTTTATCAATCTAATGCTCAAAAAAGTTTTAAATTTTTATTTATTACTCCGTATAAATTTTAATTATTGTTTGTTACTTTTAAATGAAAATCAGTTCATGGATCACATGTTAAACTTAACAATCCATAATTAATTATAAAAAGAAAATAAAAAAGGAAAAAATTCATGATTTTAAAACCTTGGATAGTTATGGTTCTTTTGAAATTGGTTTTGGGTGTCACGTTATGACAGCATGGTCTTACGGTGTTCCTTTGGGCTCTGTAGTAGGTCCCAACAGAGTACTATAGGACCCAAAAATGACCCATAATTCTTGTGACATGAATGCAAAATGCATAAGCCTCCATTGAACTTAATGGACCTATTTTCTTGCAGTTCTTTGAGGAAGCAACTAGTGACAGCAAGAGATACAAGACGAGTGGACATATTATGCTACAGAATTTCTCTGAGCCAAAAGATTCTGGGGGAGGCCAAAAGCTGTAATGGGCTGTGCAGTATAATGGACGAAGCCGTGGGGAAGCTGGAGGAAGAAGTGGGCCCGTTAACCGGTTCGCCAGTGAAGACTGCGAGGGGCATCGTGAACCGGCTTTCTTCCGGTCCGGAGGTTCAGAGGCTCTGCGGTTTGGCTGTTGATTATTTGGACTCCATGCTTTCAGAGAGAGTGCCTAAAGTGGAAGCTGATCCCATTTTGCAAGGTATACTCATTTTTTTTGTTTTTATTTTTTACTTTTTCGTGGGTCCTACTATTCTTGTCACATACTCCCTCTGGCCATAACTTTTCTTCTCGCTGCACGTTAGAATATTTCACTGAAGTTATTTTTAATTTAATTTATATAAAAATGGG